ACTTAAGGTTGTGTGCTAGCCCTCTTAGATTTTCTTCTTATTTATTTATCTGCCTGGGTTATTTTGAAAAAATTGTCTTCAAAGTCAGAAACTCTTTCTTCTGCTTGCTCTAGCCTGCTGCTTAAGCTTTTGTTGTTTTTTATTTCATTGAATGAATCCTTCAGTTCCAGGAATTCTGCTACATTATTTTTTAAGGTATTAATCTCTTTGTAAATTTTCTCCTTCATATCCTGAATAGTTTTTCTCATTTAGTTGTGTTATCTAACTGAACCTTCTTGCATCTTCTTGAGTTTCCTTAAGATCTTTGCTTAGATTTCCTTTTCAGTCATTTGACAGGTTTCCTCCTCTATGGGGTCTGATACTTGACAATTATTGTATTCCTTTGGTGTTGTCATATTTTCCTTTTTTTTTTTTTTTTTTTTTTTTTTTTTGTATTTCTAGTATCTCTGCATTGATGCCTGGTTATCTGGTATAGCAGTTGCTTTGTCTGTTGCTCTGTAGTGGACTCTGAGGAGAGAGACTCCTTCCTGTGGAGGTATTTTATATTGATGGTTGAGTAGGGTGTTTTATTATTGGTTTCAGGATGACACAGTAGTGTAGCCTCTGTGTGAATGCTTTGGCCATATTTAATGTTGAAGTTGGGTTTGAGTGCCTCCGTGGCCTAGGCAATGGGGTACTTAGTGGTTCCTTGCTGTGGTTAGTGACACTGTGTTGGGTCATTGAGGACATGGGCTGAGTGCCCAGCTACTTACCAAACTGGCTTATTCTTTGTTAATCAGGGTATGTCTTTACCACCAGATGCTGTGGAAAACAAAAAGTGCAGCTGACCATTTTGGATTCTGTTCTACAAACCATTTTAACTCTTTTGATTGTACCGTCTTCTCTTTTGTAGTAGGTGTTTTGAACTGAAATACACCATTATAACAGGCACTCACCACGACCTTCCCTGCAAAGCACATTTTATTTTCCCCATTTTACAGTTGTAGGACATGTTGTAGGCTCTGAGAGGTTAAGTAACTTCTTCAAGGTTGCACAGGAGATAAGTAATAAACCACAAATTTGAACCCATGTGTCTATTTCCACAGCCCATGTTCTTTCCAGTAAGCCACTGTTTTAAAATGTACGTTTTATTATTATTCATGTACAGTGAGAACAACAGATCAGGAGACAATTGCCATTGAAAAGATAGTTTGTTACTCACAGTTACTTACTCCCTGCCATGTAGAGCTACATGGGGAAGCATCATGGTCACTCAGGAGACAGTGGGTGTGAGGGAAAAACATGGGCTCAAGACTTTATTGTGGCTTTTCATGAAGGAACAGGTTGGGTAGAGTAAGCAGATTTAGGACTGGTTACTTTGAATAATTATAGTAGGCTGTTGGGGATGCTGGGATATCCCTCATTGTTTGGTATCTGGCTCTGGGGTGACTGGAGCAGGGGAATAGTGGACCTGAGTGTGAGAGCCCAATAGAGGAAGGAGGGGGGAGGAGGTGGGCTCTGGATAAATTTGCATATGAAATAAGACATGTTCCCAGGGCACTTGTTCACTGTGTCTAGGAATTGGGAGCCCTGGGAGGCTCAGTCTCTCCAGGGTCGGCAAGGCCCCATATGTGTCAAAGCATCAGCAATACAGAAAATGATTAATACAACCACAGTTCCTTTTCTCACACCCAAAGTTCAAAGTCATCTGACTCTGATTTTCTTATAGTGTATAACTAGTCAGTTACTACATTTGTTTTATTTTCTTAAAAAATAAAACATTTATTCATTCATTCAAGATGCCAGGCTTTGTTCTAGGCACTGGGGAGTGAGAAATAATAAGGTTCTTGCTTTAAAAGATGTCAGATAGTAGGATAAGAGACAGACATATAAACTAATGACTATGAAAGAACTTGGTAAATGCTACAATATACGGCAAGAACAGGAAATATTTTTGCTTTGTATTCCCACTGTGTAAGCCTCTGGTCCTCGTCTGCATTTCTTGCTCTCTATGCCTAATCAAATCCCTGTCCTATATATCACACCAGACTAATTTTCCTTAACTTTTTCTCATTTTTCTCCCCAAATCGAAATGATTTCTTATGGCCTCCAATGCAATAAAAGTATAAACACTTTCCTGAATTTCAAGACCCACTGTCTATCCCCACCCTCCTCATTTGTCCATATTTCCACCACTTCATTTACTCTCTCATTTAACATGCAGTTACTCTATGTCCAGTGTGTGCCCAGCACAAATAGGTAGAGTGTGGTAAATGCCACCAAGGAGGAGTATGTGGTGCTCTGTGAGCTCATGGTATGCCTTCACTATGCTTCATTCATTCCACATTTATTCCACACATATTTACTGAGCACCTATGATGTGCCAGTCACAGAGCTATCCCAGGCCTTTCACTGTTCACAGCTATACATGTTTTTCCATCTTCATGTCTCTATTTACCATAGCCTCCTTTCTGACATGCCCTGCCTCTAGCCCTTTACTCCTCCAAACTTTGCCTATTTTTAGACTGTCAGCTGAAGCTTCAACTTCTCCAACTACATAATAATTGCCAAATGATCAACCCCTTATTTTATGTTACTATGTATTATGTATATTGTATGTATTTCTTATTTTTCACTGTATCCTAGAGCTTATGCACAGTACCTGGCACATTAGGCATTCAGTAAGTACTAAATAATGGCATTCATGCATGCACCACACATGCTAGGTTCTATGCTTCCTCCTGGAAGCTCATTTAAATCTCTCTTCTCTGAATTCCTAAAGCACTATGCATAGACATGAACATCAAATGTTTTAATGAGTTTAATTACTGATTGCTGATCCCAGCGTGTTCATCTTGACAGTCTCACGGGATTGCAGACTCTTTGAGGGTCCAGAATAGGCCTCATCACAGTAATACAAATTGATCCTACAGGAAGTAAATATAGTCATCCTGCCATATCTATAGGAGATTGGTTCTAGAACCCCTGTGGATATCAAAATGGAATAATATGTTGAACTTTCAGAAGGATAGAACAGAACTGTGGTTATTACAGTTGGGAAAGAGGGAGTGGGAGTGGGGTTAGGAAGAAAAAAGAAAAAATAGGAGGATGCTCAAGTTCCTGATATAAAATGGCACAGTGATTCCATATAACCTGTGCACATCCTCCTGTACTTTAAACCATCTCTGGATTACTTAGAAGACCTAATACAATGTAAATCCTATGTAAATAGTTGTTATGCTGTATGTTTTTATTTGTGTTATTTTTTATTTTTATTTTTTTTCCCAAATGCAATACAGTATTTTGAATCTGGTTGGTTGAATCCATGGATGCAGAACCCATGGAAATGAAAGGCCAACTGTATTCAAAACCTGCATGATTTTTTTTTTTTTTTACATTAAAATGAGCAATGGCTTTGGTATTATTTTAAAACATTTCTGCAGTGGAATTCAACAATGTTTAAATAGTATACCTGGAAGTTTAGTAGATAGCATAGCATAGAAGTTAAGAACAACAACTTAAGATATAAAGAGACCTCCGTTTGAGACCTAGATTTGTCATTACTCCCCTGTGACCTTGAGTAAATTACTTAATTTCTTTTAATCTCAGTTATCTCATCTCCATAGTGAAGAAAAGTATTTTCTTCATAGGTGTGCTGTAAGGAAAAAATGAAATAATGTGTGTCCAATGCTTAGCTTAGTATTGATGTACGGTAGATGAGTCAATAAATTTTAGGTGGTATCACTTATACTACTGTTGGCATTATAGTAGACACGCTTTACTTCCTAGCAGCTAAGTTTTAAGAGGAGGCTGTAGGGTAAAGAATGTTATTGAGGTTCAGAGCAGTTTAGTGACTTACACAAAGTCACACAGCTAATGAGAATTCGACCCAGAACCCAAACCTGGCATCTGTGGCTCCTGAACAAATTCACTTTCTCTTTACACAGCCCTCACTCTCAGGAAACATGCTCAGAGCGCCTGTCTTTATGAAGCCAAAATAGCCAGTCTGTTCATAGTTTAAATGAAAATAAGTCCAATGGAATGATTGTTTTAGAGTCCTAGAGAATCAAGTAAACAATCAGAAAAAAAAAAACGCAGATTAGACTCAGGGACTCAAGCACAGTGTTGGATGTGTTTTAGCAAGCAGAGGAACAGCATGAAGAAATATTTCTTTCCTTTTTTTTTTTCCAATTATAATCTGCATTTTATTTTTTCCTATTATTAATATGTTGCGTTAATGTGGTGTATTTGTTATAATTATGAACCAATACTGATATATTATTATTAACTCAGTTTTACATTAGGGTTCCCTCTTTGTGTTATACAGTTCTATGTGTGTGGAAATATTTTTGTTCCTGATGCCTATTACATACTATTTCGTTTAGGGCCACCAAGTGGATTAGGGAATAAAAATCCTAGACATGGGATTTCAAATGAGAAGATGATTATCTGCAGAGGACACCTCTGTCCCGGTTTCTCATGTGACAACTTTTCATTCAGGGGAGCTTCTCTTGACAACTCTGGGACATCTTATTTTTTAAAAAAAACTGTGACTCCTTCATCCTATTCTCTTTCATTTAGCTTATCCATTGGTAAGACACAGTGAGTGATTGAAAATTTGCCATTGCTTGGAGTGATAGCCTGGACCAGGAGGGGGAGGTAATGGGGTCCAGAGAAGGTTAGTGCTTCTAACATTTGAGATTCCCTGCCATTTAACCTGCGTCACCTTCCTTGTTCCTCATTCTTGGATCTGATGCTACCTGCTGCTACCAGTTCAGCCTTGGAGTTTCATTTCCTATTACTCTTCCCTCCAAATATCTTTGTTTTATAAATCCAAGAGGCTGGCACTGGGTTAAGCAAAGCTAAATTTCTTTTGGAGGAAACACTATTGCAAGTTAGCATTTTAATGTTCTTGAATCCTCTGTGGACAGAGAGCTGAAAAAAACACACATCTTGATATATCTTTTTCTGGCAGAAACACAGAGAAGCTATAAAACTGACCCATCTCTCTTGTTTTTCAGATAGACCACTTGGTGCACGGCCATCCCGCCTTCCCTGAACTGCAGGCCAAGGCTGCAGCCAGGTAACTGCTGTCTCTGTCCCTCTACAGCCTGCCTTGTGTGACTGCACTGCAGCATTCACTTTGGGCAGTTGCATGATTTTCAGATCTGTGAGCAATGAAAATGCCCGTTAGTATTTGGTTCTAAGATAGTCATCCAGATGACCCAGAACATAGTTTTTTAAATGATCGGAAATAACTCAGAGAACCTAGAAATCCCTCAAGAATATACTCAGAGGCCATGCATGAGAAACTCCAATAGAGAAGGAGGAGCATGGATTTTTGAGTCAAAATTTCCAGGGTTCACATCCCAGCTTCACTCTTGGACAAGTTACTCAAGGTATTTAAACCTGTTTCTTTATGCTATAAAACTGTAAAACTGAGGATAATGGATATGGAGATATTTCTAGAATATACTGAAGAAAGCTGAGTGCAAAAGAATATTTACAGTATATTCTGTTTCATGTAAGAAGAAAGGAATGTAAGAAAATATATGTGTATCTATTCATTTGTGAAAAGCAATAAAGAAAGGTTAAATGGGAAACTATTGAGATTGGTTACCTCTAGGGGATGAATAGGAATGGGATAGAAAGAATGGGGGAATGGGAACAGGGTAATAGGGAATAGCACTTCTCTGAGTACACCTTTTTATATAACTCTCTTAGAACCATTGTGATGCTTCATGCCTTGCCTCCAAATAAATGGATAGATAATTGATTGATAGATAACCAGGATATGTGTGTATGGGGGGAAGGTGTGTGTATAAAAAGTAAAAAAAAAATGAACATACTATTTACAAATGAAGAAGATAACCACACTAAAGTAGGGTTGGGAAAGAAAAGAACTAACCTAAGTAAATTTGGGAAAAAATATTTTGGCAATACGTTGTATGGCTAAAGATAAAAATAACTATACACAAATACTGTACTCTAATTAAAAATTTTTTTTATCATAGGTATATAGTTTAGCTATAGTGAAAACCCTTTATGTGTGTTTTAGTATATTTTGTGTTGCTATAAGAGAAATACTTAAGACTGGGTAATTTATAAAGAACAGAGGTTTATTTGGCTTTCGATTCTGAGACAATTGCATTTGGCATGGGCTTCAGGCTGCTTCTACTCATGGCGGAAAGTGGCAGGCAGCCAGCAGGTACAAACAGATCACATGGCGAGAGAGGAAGCAAGAGAGAGAGAGAGGAGGTGCCAGGGTCTTTTAAACAACCAGCTCTCATGGGAACTAATAGAGCGAGAACTCGCTCACTTATCCCCCCTTCCCCAGGGAGAGTATTAATCCATTCATGAGGGATCCGCCCCCATGACTCAATCAGTTTCCAACACTGCCACATTGGGGATCAAAATCCCACACGAGTTTTGGAGGGGACAAAACATCCAAACTCCATCATTTCACCCCTGGCCCCCCAAAACTTATGTCCCTCTCACATACAAAATATAATCATTCCATCCCAGCAGTCCTAAAAGTCTTAGCTTGCTCCATCACCAACTTAAAAGTCTGAAGTCTAAAGTCTCATCTGAGACCAAAAGCAAAACTCCTTCCATCTGTGAACATGAAAAACAAAACCAAACTCATCTACTGCCAAGATACAATGGTGGAACAGACATTGGATATACATTCCCATTCCAAAAGGGAGGGATAAGCCAAAAGAAAGGAGAAACAGGCCCCAAACAAGTCTGAAACCCAGCACAGCAGACATTAAATCTTAAAGGTCCAAAATAATCTTCCTTGACTCCAAGTCCTGCATCCTGGGCATGATGGGGCATCTGGGCCCCCAAAACATCAGGCAGCCTCACTCCCACAGCTCTGCCAGGCACAGCACAGTGGGCTGTGCTGGTGTCTGTGGCTTTTCCAGGCCTGCGTTGCACATTACCAGTGGCCCTGCAGTTCTGGTGTCCTGGCGGCAGCCCCGCTACCCTGGCTCTACTAGATATTTCCCTGGCGGCAGCTTTCTGTGGGGGCTCCGACCCCACTTTTCTGCTCGGCATTGCTCTAGTAGATGGCCTCAGCAGTGGCTCCACCCCTGTGGCAGGTCTCTGACTGGGTCCCCAGGCTTTTTCAGACATCCTCCGGAATCTGGGTGGAGTCAGCAACACCTCCACTGCTGTCACATCATGCCAGCCTGCAGACTTAGCACAATGTGGACACCACCAAGGTTTCAGGCTTGTACTCTCCAGGGTTGCTGCATGAACCACACTTGGGGCCACTCTAGCTGGAGCAGCTGGGATGCAGGCAGCAGTTTCCCAGGGGAAGCTGTGCCCCAGGTCTGTCCTCTGGGACAACTGAGTCCTTCTAGGTCTCAGGACCTGTGATGGGTGGGGCACCCTTCCAAATTTCTCAAATGCCTCTAGGGCATTTTTTCCATTGTCCTGGTTGTTAGCATCTGGCTGCCTCAACCACCAAGATAATATCTTTAGCAACCAGTTTATCTGCTTCACCCTTGCATTTTTCTCTTGCTCTCTGCTTCTCTACCACATGGCCAGGCTGCAAATTTTCCTAATCTTTACGCTCTGCTTCCATTTTAAATTCTGGCTTTACATCATGCGTTTGCTGCCATAACTCAGAGTAGGCTCTTAAAAGCAACCATGCAGCTTCCTTAATGCTTTGCTGCTTAGAAATTTCTTCCACCAGATACTCCTGGTTCACAACTCCTGAGTTCCTACTTCCACAAAGTCCTAGGGCATGGACCAAATGCAGCCAGATTCTTTGCCAGTCCACAGCAAGGGTGATCTGTGCCCTAGTTTCCCATAAACTCCTTCTGATTTCTGCCTAAGACCTCCTTAGAATGGTCTTTACAGTCCATATTTCTATCAGCATTCTGCTCACCACCACCATTTAACCAGTCTCTAAAATGTTCCAAACATTCTCTCATCTTTTTGTCATCTTCTGAGTCCTCCAAACTCCTCCAGCCTTTGCCCATTACCCAGTTCCAAAGCTTCATCCACATTTTCAGGTATCTGTATAGCAACACCCCACTTCTGGTGCCAATTTCCTGTTTTAGTCTGTTTTGTGTTGCTATAACAGAAATACCTAAGACTGGGTAATTTATAAAGAACAGAGGTTTATTTGGTTTATGATTCTGGGACAGTTGCGTGTGGTACGGGCCTCAGGCTGCTTCTACTCATGGCGGAAAGTGGCAGGCAGCTGGCAGGTACAAACAGATCACAAGGCGAGAAGAAGCAAGAGAGAGAGAGGAGGTGCCAGGGTCTTTTAAACAACAAGCTCTCGTGGGAACTAATAGAGCGAGAACTCACTCATTTGTTCCCCCTCCCCCAGGGAGAGCATGAATCCATTCATGAGGGATCCGCTCCCATGACTGAATCACTTTCCAGCACTGCCACATTGGGGATCAAATTTCCACATGAGTTTTGGAGAGGACAACACATCCAAACTCCATCAATGTGTATATTACAATTGAGCTGATTTTTTAATATATGTGCAGCTGACTATAAATGGAAATAGATGTAGATACTTGCATTCATGTGTGAGTGTGTGTATATATATATATATATATATATATATATATATATATATATTCCCTAGCTCTGTCTGCTAAGATGGCCTAGAAGCAATGATATCATAGTAGCAATGTACACACAAAGCACCCAGATCTTGGTTTTTAAATACCATTCTCCTGGTTCTCCAATAAAAGTCATCAAAACTCCTTAGAAAGACCATTGATTCTAAGAATGGGGCAAGGAAAATACATGACTATTTTGTGGTGCCAGAAAGTAAGGAATTACTCAAAAATGAATTGTCAAAGTATATAGGAGCTAGCTTTAAAAATCTCTCACTGGCCTAATTAGGGACAATTTAATCACTGAAATAAATAATGATAATATAAAATAACTCCAAGTATCCATACTGATAAAAATAAATAATTGAAGAAATAAATGTGATGGAAAAAAGACAGGTTTTCCTGTCTACTGTAAGGTCACTGGACTTACAATTAATAAACGTAGAAGAAATAATGGAAATAGAAAATCATCATTAGGTAAACATCAGGGAAATATTGTTGCAGACAAGAATCATCGATGGATGCCAAAATTAGTGAGTGAAAGTATGATAGGAAGCAGGATATTTGCATAATCCCAGAGGATCTCACCACAAGATACTTATAATACGAAAGGAAAAATAGTACCTTTACAGTGGGGAAAACTGGCAGACAACACCTTACGCAAATGATGAAAGTTAACACTATCAACAATAAGATATATCAATATCATGTACCTTCTTTTATGATGAACTGAGAAGGACACAGTATCATTTCTCTGATGTTCTTGCTCAAAATCTATAATAACCTCAGTGTAAACATGGGAAATCATCAGACAAACCTAAAGTGAAAGACATTCTACAAAGTTATTAGCCAATGTGCTTTGAAAGATTATGAAACTTCACTACTGAAGAACGACTGGAAGAGACTTGAGGTAATACTACAATTAAAAACAATGTATGATCATAGATTACATCCTGGCCCAGAAAAAGGACATGAGTGGAGGAAAGCTTTTGAAATTCAAATGTAGATTAATAATATTGTTATTTATGTTAATTTCTCAGGTGATGAGTAAAAGGGAACTCTGTCTCCTACTTTGGCAAGTTTTGTGTAAATCTAAAAGTATTTCGAAAGAAAACGTTTTAAAAAATAAATGCAAGGGTGTCTTCAAAAAGTTCATAGAAAGATTTGTATTACATATTAATACTATTTTTCCATGAACTTTTTGAAGTACACTTGTAAATGAATTCCATGATAATAATGCTTAGTTGTCAAGCTTTTTAAGAAAAGTAAGGTATTTTATAACATTAACAGAGAAAACCCATGTAGCTAGCACATGGCCAAAAAGAGAGTCCAACGTGGTGGTCAATATCACAGACTCTGGAACCAAATTGTCTGTGTCTCAGCTTCGCCCCTTCCTAGTTGTGTGACTCTGGGTAATTTACTTGACCTCTTTCTGTCTTTGTACCTCACTGTAAAGGAAAATAATAACAGTACACCCCTCCGAAGATTGTTGTGA